CAAGACCAAGTTGATTATACATTTCTCCATAAATACATATACATTTCAATCCGGAACCAAACAACAGTTTATCTCCCCTTTTTAAAATATAAGTATATAACCATTTATTTATACTTTTTCTTTAGCTAAAGAAAACATTAGTCATACTTTGGCTTATTGTTTTTCTCTAGATCTTTTAAAATGTAAATGAATCCATAAAAAATGCAAGTCAACTATTACTCATTCCATTTCTTTTTTTCTTTTGTCAACTATATTTCAATTACTTTTATTAAAAAAAAACCATATTAAAGAGTGCTAGACAAAGGAGACATTTGCAGAAACCCATTATAAAACTATTATATATAACTAAGCAATATATCAATTTCATGTACTCAATACAATTATTCGTTATTGCCGCAAGGCTACAAATTACTCAAGAAACAAGAGTAAAAAGACCCTTGGACAGATATTCAAAAAAATATAGGAAAAAAGCCTTCATGGCTTCGATCGAAATCCATAGTCTTGGCTTTAGATAGACAAATCTATCTTATGATTATTCGATGAGAAAAAAAATTAAAAAAATTATTATTTGGAAGGTGTGCTTCTCATGTGTTCATGCCGGTCTTTTCCTTAATGGTCGCACTCGCACCTTGTGCCTTCTCCTTGATCTGCTGACCAGTCTATATTTTGTTTTCCCAANAAAAAAAAAAAAAACCAATAAATTATAATTAATCTGATCAAATTCTCATAAACACATTATTAATTCACAAGAAAAATAGTATTTAAGAATAAGAAAAATGGACCTCTTGCATAGAATCCTTAGCAGATTGGGCAGCATTGGAGGCCTTGTCCATCAAGTTGCTTGCCTTCTCCTACAACAATTTTTAGTTACATCTAATTAAGTATTAATCTAAACCAACATTAACCCCAAAATATAACAAATGAACTAATATTTAACTTTAAAAAACCTGGGTTTGGCCTTTAGCTTGGCCAGCATTGAAGCTCATGCTCTGACTGTTGTTAGACATTCTCTTCTTGAAAAAACTTTTAAATTTTGATTTTTAAGAACTATTTAGCTTTTGTAATTGTGACTTGTGAGTAAACAGCATTACACGAGTGTGTTTATATACTTGTTGGGACCCCTGTGGTTACCTCCACGTATTGGATATCTATTTAGAATTTGACATTTGGCGTAGTACGCTCCGGTCGGATAGGGAGGTTTTTTTTACCATTAGACATGCAAATCCGTTGTAGACTTGTTCTTATGTACTATTAATAAATAATGTGTGTATAATTTTATTTTTGTTTTGGGATCTTCAGTTCTAAGGAAATATGTTTTCATTTTTTGTTTGTCAACTAAAATATGTTTTCATTTATTCATTTGATGTAGCATATATGCTTCTTCTTTTTTTCTTTATATATATGCTTAATGCA